TTCGGGTTACCTATTACAGATCATATGCCTAAGAAGGACAGAAAGGAGTACTAGTAGAAAGAAGTGTTTCTCTGTAGAGTAAAAAACAACACTGGAGCAAAAAGATTGTCCAGTGGAGTTTTCCGGGCTAAAATTTGATTTTGCTGGGAGGGAAGGAGTTAAGTGTGAATTACAAAACAAAAGCTTTGAGAGTCTGCAAAAATCCTCTGCTTGGGATTGCACAATAACGAAGCTTGCCCAGTTTGATGGGAATTAAATTTTCACAATTGCTGGAGCACTGATTGCATAATGTATGTTGACTCAATCTAAGAAAATGGATTAAAGTCAGGTCACTAGAAACCACATATAATACTTTGGTGTTTATTTACTAGACCGGGATTGTGGGATAATGAGCAAGGAATTACATGTTTTTGCTCAAATAGCCAAACTGGAAAAGGACTTTTACAAACTATTTCACTTCAGTAGAAAGGACAAATCTTCCAAACTAACGATCAAAAGGGAGCCATTAAAAACACAATGAAACAAAAAAAAAATATCGAAATAAAAAAAAAAAATGAAAAAAAAAAACATACTATATTTTCTCTGAAATCAGTTTGCTAGTAGAAGAATTTTTAAATGTTTAAAACTACTTTTTATTTTTACAGAAAGTGATGGATACCTTGAACAGCAAATGTGGAAGTTTACAAATGTTAATACAGCAAAGACAATTCACAAATGTTTGGGTTACGCATAAAACTAAACTATTCCCATAGGCATAGGCTGATCTCTGGACAGACATACTGGCATCAATAGGATCTGTTTGTGCTTGTGAAGACAAATGACAGATGCCTACTATGAAAGTGGAGCCGCAGAATTCTAATGTATGTTTTGCCCAGGGCTTCTTAATCATGTAATCTCTAGAAAAATCTAAAAAGTTCACTCTTTGAATTAATCTAAATACCCGTGCCACATTTTTATCTAATGCAGATTTTATTGGTGTATTAACATGTCATGGGTTTAGTAAAAACTTTACAGTTCTTTAAACAAGTAGGAGACACTACTCCTTCAGTAATGTCTTAATACATTCCTCAGGAAAGAAGACTTTTCCCTGGTGCTAAATCTTTTCCTGTGTTGAACTTTTATCTCTAAGCTTTATTTAAACTTTATTTAAAAAAATGTCTTCAAATGTATATGTAAGGGGAAAAATTGAAAATATTGACCTGTAAAACGTATTAAAAGGTTTAATTCAAGTGCGACTATATATATCATGTTCATTGCTGTACAGGTCTGAGCTTGCAGCAAGTGAAGAAAATTGGCCGTATAGTATAAACAAAAAAAAAAAAAAAAGAGAGACTTTGCTTCTCAACTGTATTAAAGTTGGCACCGAGTGTATAAACACAATAAAAAGTGTTCATTTGGGAGTAGGGTAATAGCACCTCCCCAAAACACTTTTGAGTTTTGGCAGCAATTTCCTATTTTGTCTAACATCTTGTACTATCCTACCTATCTCACATTTCTATTATGATTATCTTCATCATTTATCTTTAAGGCACAAATAGATCCCACAGTGTTGTAAGACAGGAAAAAACATACAAACCAGGCATATTGAAACAGACAGAAGCAGATGGTATACAGCATTTAGCCCAGTAGACTTTGCTATGTGTGTGCACACTTTATCTTTATAAGTACTGTTTTACTACTGTAAATTTGAAAATAATTGGAGGTATACACTGGACTTGTCTTTTGTGTATTGTTTTGTAAAATATATTTGACTGATTTTTTTTTAGATAATACTAAGGGTCTCGTTCGATAAACAGTGAATTTTAATGATGACTTGAAAACTGAGTTCGAAAGTTTAGACTAGAATAGCGAAATTTAATAAAATATCAAATTGTGCCTAGTACAAGATTTTAAAACTCTGCTATGCTGGGTGATTTTTAAAAACAAATTTTATAAGTTGGTTTTAAATTCACAAGAAGGTGCTGTTAGGGAATAGATTTCTTAGTGTAATATTCCATTTTCAAACGCGCATTTTATGACAAATCCGTAAGTTGCAGTGAGTTGAGAGTAAATTATAAGTTATAAAGTGTTGGACATTTATATCACAAACTCTGAATTTTACATATTTTTCTCTTTTTTATGTTTTAGCTATTTTTACAATTATGTAAAATCCTCCATTTGAAAGATAGGTCGATGATGAATGAATGACCAGTAATATAAAAAGGAATATAGGAAATTGTCTGATATACCCTTGATCTATAAGGACAACCTATGCTAATCACTTGCATTGATCAAGCACTCTTCACACTATTATAAATAATGAATATAAATTGTATTGTTAGGATATGGATATTATAACTGCAAGTGCATGCTCACCTTATATACTAAATTTATAACTAACAGAGAGAGACAGACAGAGGAGTGAGGAAGATGAATAAAATTAATAAAGTAAAGCATAAAACTGTAAATAGGCTTATAGGATTCTTATTATTATACATGATACATTCAGATTCCAGCTAACTTGTGTTCCAAATAAATAGCTGTAAAACAAAGCTTGATGAAACGATAGGGTGTTCCAGTGGTATTGTAGAATTTAAACACTGCTCTTTCTTTCTAACATTAGTGCAGTCCCAGAGAACTCATCTCACTATAACACACACACACACACACACCTGTCAGCTTGGCGTCAGCCAGACCAATGAATGGCAATTCCAACTTTGTCCTTGAAACAAGTTTCAACACATTGACACACGTTACAGCCAGCGCTCCAGCTAAAACATTCTACTGCACATTAAAACTAAAAAAATAAATTATACACATACACACACACACACAGCTAATCCATATGTAATGTAATTCTTTATAGATTACACATCCATCAAATCCTATTGGGGTATAGGCACTGGCAATGAAATAGTTAACATGCATGTGTCCTGCAGCTTACCATTCACTCCCATCTAACTCAGCCAGGTCCCTGTAGTGTCCCCAGCACAGACAGGACTAATGTGTCCTATAGGTCTGGCTGGTTAGTTTCCCCTGTGCCCCGGTGACAGTGCAGTGAGTTGTGTCAGATCATATGGCGAGAGAGCTCTCACACACTTCCGGATCTAGTGACATCAAATAGCGCTCTAGCCGTATTTACGGCTATCATCAGTCTGTCTGTCTGGGCTGCCAACATCCTTAGCTCAGCACTAGTAAAGCCCTGTGTGGCAGGGTTACTATATACAATAGCACACCGGATACATAGTTAGAGCATTTACTTTTCCTAGTGACGCTTACCCTCCTGTAACTCCTGTTGCTACACTTTTTTTTAAAAATTACATCACTTGGTAACACAGGAGGAAATATCGCCCGAACAAGTCACTCAGCCGCGCTACAATAGAACGTTCAGAGCAAAGTGCCCTCATGTCAGTTAGGACCATAAGGATCCATGAAAACAGGTGCTACATGATGAGAAACATGCTGATTGTCCCCATGGTGACTGCTCTTTATTTAAAGATTTGCTCCAGAATAGAACGTTTCGGCTTTGATCAATATCCCTGCACGCACTCACAATCTCCAGGACATCAAATAACAGAGAGGGGGCAGAGGGAAGAGTTAAACCGGCACTGCTGCAATTAGGCTGCCTTGGCTGTTACAGCACATCAATAAATAGTGATTAACACGTGAGGGGGTGGAAAATATCCAAACATTTAGAAAATGTGTCATAGAAGTGAGACCCATTGGAAGGAAATGATCAACTGGATTTTCTCCTGGGACACGTTCAAAGGAAGAGAGAAACCATTAGTGTGGCTTGTAATCCCTAAAAATTCTGTGGGTGTTTCTTATATGCCTAAATATGAATTCTGATTACTATCTTTCACTCCCCTTATATACAAGGAACACACACAGGACTTCCTGCTTTGGCAACACAATCTATACAAATAATAATGCAATCTATGATGGGCATTATACAAAATGCTTTAACCTTTGTTAACTGGTTTATACCACTCATGAGTTTAAATGGTTACAGCTCTAAGCAATCGTCATTAACAGCATAGAAATTTAGATTTAAAGGAGTTTGTCCCATGAGCACAGAGTTGCACTCACCTGTATGATAGCAGGTAGTGCAGGGTAATCATCTGTGTAAGATTACTGTTTACAAGTAAATCTATTATCTGGGGATGTATTCTGTGCTGGTACAGTGATCTGATGATCTCCTCTGCCGAGGATGTGCCATACCAAGCTGTCACTAATCATTCTGAGCTCTGCCCTAGTAGATATAATGTAAACCTAAGAGACAGATCAATATAGATAGATGGCACTGGGATCAAAAGGGGAATGAAAACTGCACTCCTTCCTCATCTTTGTTAAAATAAAATCTGTATTGTTCTGACCACAGTACCATTTACATTCTCTATTCTTCAAACTGTTCCTTCCAGCCTTAAATAGTCAGACAGCTCATCCTTAACCCAATGAAGTATATCATTCTCTCTCTCCCTCTCTTTCTCATTAGTGAACACCAATTAAAAAGCCTTGTTTTGAACTCAATGTGGGCCTCTGTGTCACATAACATGCAAACTTCCCTGCACACAGCAATTAGTGTCTGCCACAGCAGGTATATCAGAAATACAGGCAAAGCAAATAGCTGATGTCACACACAATTAAAGTGAAACCTGTTTTTAACATCATGTGTGCCACTAAAATAGCACGTTGAGCAGAGACCATCACATTTAAAGGGACAGAGATCAAAAGGTAGAAATCATGGTACAGTACATACAACACGTTCCTTTGTGAAAATGGTATCTTACCTTTCATCTGTTTCAATAAATCTCCCAGTCAAAAATGATACAAAGCTTCAAATGCTGAACTTACTGGATAGAGACTCCCAAAGAGTGGGGAGAGGGGAGAAACAGCTCTGTCCTTATTAGTCTAACAGTGTGATCCTCCCACTCAGTCAGCAGTCAGGACGGCCACACGTTGTACTTACTTAACTAAATCAGTGCATTGTCCCTTATAGTGAGAACTTCATACATCTCATTCGAACGTTCAGCGCTGCGATGCTGTGCAGCCACTTCCACTGGGGGAAGTTCCCCTCTCTGCCGGAGTTGTCTTGCTTAGGGAGAGATACTGTACCAATCGGTGCCGCAAAATAACTCTAACTCTGAGAAAATAAGCTGATCACACAATCAATGTTTAAAGGCATCCTCAGTTTGTCCTGCTGCCATTGGGAATGCAGTAAAACCTTCCCTCCTGTGTGGCATTGAACTTTGGAAAGCTCAAGGGACTGAAGGTATTTATTAGTTTGCCCGTTAAAAAAAAAGTCTCCTACACAAGGGTCTCTCCTGCACTGTAATGTCATCTAAGCCTGAGAATCTGACATTGAGCCTAGCAACTGTCCAGTCTCGGATATGCCAAAGTGCACTTTTCCTGGTTTCTGTAACAGGCTGCTCAAACCAGGATCTGGAGTATTTATGTTATGAGCAGAATGTTATAGCGAGGTATACATGGTTACTGGTTGGGGTGTATATACAGTTGCATGGAAATAGAATTAAAAATATATATATTCATGGCTTTGATTTTTCTTCTTTGCAAACTAATTATAAGTTCTTTAACTGAGCCACGTGTTTTAGTATAAGAAATCAACTCTTTCTTGAATTACGTCACAGAGATCCCTTGCATCAAACGTTTTAAGATATACAAGTGTTTTGAGACTGTAATCTAAGCACAAAACACTTTATTACTACTACATACTATAGATCGAACTCACATCCAGGCAGCCACAACTGTCTCTTCCTGCCATAAATAATACGGCTTCTAGTTGAGATGTCTCACAGCTCATTTTAATCTATTTTTAGTTTTCTTTATATAATTTTTTTTTTTTTCATTCCACAGTTTAATCCTCCACATTGTATTAATTCTGACACCTATAACGTCAGGATTAGCACCTCCAAGAGTAAAGACTGTTTTAGCTGTGGCAATGGCAGGGGTGATATTAAAATATTTAGTAGTGCTGTGAATGATTACTGCTGAGTAAGGCACATTTAAGAGTGTTTAATTAAATTTTAATATGACAATATAATTTTAAATCGAATGATGAAATATGATGTGCTCAGTTAGAATGTAAAAAGGAGGGAGAGAACAGTATTCATGTATTGGCAACAATTAATTTTCTACATAAATTAACCCTTTAGGTGCCAATTTGAATGTGCAGAGATTAAAAATAAAATATATACTGTGCATGGAGTTTTACTACCTTCTTATACCATTAAATAATGTTATATATATTAAAATTCTATGAGGTTCATACACTGTGTAAATATATTAAAATCCTATGGGGTTCATACACTAAACCGAAAATTATGGTGAACTACGATGAACATTTCGGGTCACAAAACCAATTGTACAAAAAACAACAAAATTGGAGAATCTCTAATTCACCTATTCTGGCACTGAATTGTAGTTCCCCTAGTCAGTTCTTCCAGGTTCACAGTTTAGTGGATAACCCACATACATGTGAAATTGGCTAAGCAACAACTGGCCTGGTTGATTACAGTGTGTGAATGATAACTGTGTTTCTTTAGGTATTGTGTGCTCTAGCAGTGTCAATTACAAACATACAAGTTTACCACTGACAAAAAAATGCATTTGTGGACATTTAAAAAACAGAAGCTGACTGTCAAAAAAGGTAGTGGTAAACTAGCAGTAAAATGGGATTGTACAGATTTGCTTAAAGGACCACTCTAGGCACCCAGACCACTTCAGCTTAATGAAGTGGTCTGGGTGCCAGGTCCAGCTAGGGTTAACCCATTTTTCAATAAACATAGCAGTTTCAGAGAAACTGCTATGTTTATTAATGGGTTAAGCCTTCCCCCTAATCCTCTAGTGGCTGTCTCATTGACAGCCACTAGAGGCGCTTGCGTGCTTCTCACTGTGATTTTCACGGTGAGAGCACGCAAGCGTCCATAGGAAAGCATTGTAAATGCTTTCCTATGCGACGGGCTGAATGCGCGCGCAGCTCTTGCCGCGCGTGCGCATTCAGCCGGCGGGGAGGATCGGAGGCGGAGAGGAGGAGGAGAGCTCTCCGCCCAGCGCTGGAAAAAGGTAAGTTTTACCCCTTTCCCCCTTCCAGAGCCGGGCGGGAGGGGGACCCTGAGGGTGGGGGCACCCTCAGGGCACTATAGTGCCAGGAAAACGAGTATGTTTTCCTGGCACTATAGTGGTCCTTTAACTCTTATTAAACTTTTTCCCTAATAGATAGTATTCAATTGTTTAAATTGCCATTTAAAGCTACACTCATACTTGTGTAATATTAGAAGATGTTTAATAGTCAATAAATGCATTTGGATTCTCCTCCTTTTTCCTATATGGCGACTTGTGCAATGAAGCCGCAGGAGGTAGTATTTCTGCTAGAGGGTGAAACAGGAGGAATCATCAACCCACCATAGGCACCAATGGCATATTGGATTAACCTTTGTATTCTGTCACATGCACAGGGTATAGAGCAGGAGTATACACCAGATACTGAGGTCCTCTGTAGATCTTCTAGCTCTCTCATTCATCTATCGTGAATTTCACAAGCAGATTATGTTTTCAGAGTCAGATCTGAGTAAGGCTGGGCCAAAATTCAGAGTAGGGTTTGACAGGCAAATAACTTGTTAGTAGTTCAATATTCTTACTGCAGGTACATAGTATAACTAAGTTATTGGGAGATTCATTATGGGTAATTTCATGAAGGAAATTAGCCAGAGTAAACAATGGATTTAGTCATCAACTTATGTCCGATGAGTCTCATTTTTATTTAAATGGCTTTTTCAATAAGCAAAACTGGTGTTTCTCGGGTACAGAAAAACAATGGATAATTAATCAGGGCCAATTGCACAGTCTAGTGTGGAGTGACCTCACATGAAGTTATCGGACAGAATTTTGAGCGCTAGAACCTAATTAACTAATGATATGAACAATGCAATCAAAAAGCCAGACTTTGCTAGGCGGCAAATGGAGCTCATTTAAACTATGTTGTCATATTAATTCATGTTCCTTTCAGATGAAGCAGAAAATAGTATATCAAACTACAGAGATTTGTATTGGCAAATAAGAGAAAAAAAATAAAAAAAAAAATTTATTACGCAGTCTGAATCAGAACCAGAGTTTGAACAATATAAATCAAAAAAGAAGGCAGTCTTTGCTTTATACAATAGGTTGCCTCACCTCGTCAATTAATTAGCCACTTAGCAGGAGGAAAACAAAGTTCATGGCAAATTGTTCAAATGTCAGAAAGTAACAGAAAATAGGGTTTTACCCAAGTCTTGAGACATGTCAGTGATTCTTGCAGACAGTAATTCCCATATGGAAAAATAACCAAATATGCAGGCTGGTAAACTGGGTGGCTGTAGCAGAAAGGAAAAAAAAGTTAATTTAGCTTTTAGCAGCTGAGTTGGAAATATTTGAACTCCAATAGAGGAATGCAGGAAGCAAGGTGAGTATAAGGATCCAGTTTGTAGATTCTGAAGGAATTCCCAGTGAGGTAAGTGAAAAATCAGTTCTGAGTTGGGCTGAAGATTCTGGGAGCTGAAAAATTAGTTAGTAGAAACATGCGAGGAACAGGACCATAACAGGCTGGTGTCTGCTCATTAAGAGTGCACAGGTTCACTTACAGGGTGGTCTTAAATAGGCTGTTTATTGTGAGTGGACCTGTGAACTTAATGGAAAAGAGCAGAATTATTTAAAGAGATAACATTAAAATACATGTTCCTGACATATATCATCTTCTGTACCTAGTCAAACATTTCGCCATACATTACACATCCATATGTAATATCATTGAAATTGGTCTATGCAAACCTGTGTGTATGTATATATATATATATATATATATATATATATATATATGAAAAAAATCAAGATGCACTCACAGGTCTTCAAATATAAGAAAAAATGGTGCTTTATTAATCCATGTGTGGTATACAGCAAAAATCAATCGACGTTTCGACCCTGCCGGGTCTTTTTCAGCAATGTATGGAGAAATGTTTGTGTATATATATCTCCAATATGTATTTTCTTGATGATGATATATATATTTTTTATATACTAGAATATATATAATACACAAGATCCAGCGCACTCACCTATCCACTAAACAGCAACTTCAATGTTGAAAGATTTTATTTGGTTTTTTTTTAAAACACCTAATCTAGGCAAAAATAATGGGGGTTTAGTTACATTATATGATCATACATTGCATAAGCCTTCCACAACGTCAATGTACCCCATCTTTGGCAGGTCCTACACTAACAGCCTAATGTCTGCTCTTATGAGATTAACCTACTTGGGGAAAAAAATTCCATCTGGGGCTCTCTGCAGTACAAGGCTAAATAGGGCCCTGGGATGAGGCACCTGTGACAGGGAGGGGTTCAAAACCAAGAAGTTGGCTAGACTCCCAAATATATATATATATAACAAGGGGCGATTTGCTGCTCTCACCTGAACATGCATAAATGGGGGTGCTGATGGGGGCTAAATTATACAATACACAAGATCCAGAGCACTCACCTATCCACTAAACAGCAACTTCAATGTTGAAAGATTTTATTTGTTTTTTATACAAATATATATATATGTGTGTGTGTGTGTGTGTGTTTTAGTATATATATGCACAAATTATCATCATGACAATAGACCTATTGTTAGAAAAATCATGCCAAGTAGAAACTTTCACACATTTTCCTGTTGCTGTCATTGATTGTAAAGAAGAATTAACTACTGATATGCTAATAGATCATTATACCCCCAAATTCTAAAAAATATCTTCTAAAATGTCATATGTCCCCTTGAACACAGAGGTATTCGTAATATCAGTAGTAATCACATGATTTTTTAAAAGACATTTATAGACTATGATTGCTAAGCATCTTTAGTTGGAGAATTAATTATCTTTATTTTTACTGTTGTATAAATTTTCCACTGTTATAAGTAAAATCTCTTTTGTTTGATTTTTTTCCACTAAAACTCAGAACTGTAGTGAATTAAAATTTGGTTTGCAACACCTATACAAAAATATGCAAGCAAAGACACAGTGTGAGAATGTTTTCCATTTTTATATTTTTGTTTACATTTTGTGATTTTATTTTTAATTCCTTACACTTTGTTGCTTAGTGAATAAACCACTATATGCCCTTTATACAGAGCTGTTTTCAAAAGTTTCACTACAAAAGCTTTTGTATTATAGGTTCTGTATATATTTGTGTGATATGTCATGTATTTCCTCCACTTTTATAGTGTAGACAAATGTATTTATTTAAGCCTCTCCTCGTAAATACAATTTCCCATTTAATTTT